AGATAAAAATGCATTTGCTGAAGCAACCATTCCATTTTAGCTTGCTTCTACGAGTCTTTTATCTCTATTGTCATGTCGTGTTTCACAAGATTGGTACCTGAGCACTTCGCATCGCAAGTTCAATGCTGTACCAGGTGAGCTACTGAGCAAGTTTACTATGTCAGAAAAGTCATACACATGGAGCTGGTTATGTGATGCAGACTTCAAAATGTACTAGTTTACAAATCAAGCACTATGGTAAAAGTGTTGAGGTTGTAGTTTTGCAATAATATAGGCAGAGGCCCGTTGTTTCCAATGATCCTATGTTGCATCCTGGGCAAAGATAAAACATACTGAGACTTCTGAGCTGTAAAATGTCCTTTTTTTTTAATGGACCAGCCTGTGGGGTCATGTGTTTGTGGTCCTTTGGTGTATGTATGTGTGAAGAGTATCTGTACCTTGCACAACTGTCCGATTCTGGCGTGTGTAGCTTTGCTGATTTGCTCTCCATCAATAGCGTTCTCTCTGAAGAACAGATAGATCTTGTCGTCTTCAGGGTTGTCGCTCTCTGGGATGAGATGCACGCTGATAAATCTAGGATCTGGAAGGACAACAAACAAACAAAACATTAACACAAAAGAATAAAAATGCATAATACAACAAAAATAGTGTGGACCAATAACTTCTATTGCTGTATTCACTGAGAAGCAAGAGCCACATCACATACATCTCACATCACATTACTGTGGCACCAGCTCACATTGACCTACACAGTCACCTCACCACATCTACATGCACATACACATACAAGTGTGCAAACACTCCTATTACGCAAAACTTGTTCACTGGAGCCAAAGGCATTGATTTACTCTTTAATTGTTCCTTTGGTTAACAAAAAAGAAGTAATAGAAGAAGTTCAGCTTTGCATAATAATAAATGACTAAATGGCGTTTTAAATATGTTAAAATAGAAAACTGTTATTTTAAACTAATAATGTTTCACTATATTACTGTTGTTAGTAGTGTATGTATGTGTGGTAGTGTATGTGTATATAGTATATTTATATGTTTGCAGTCATTTAATATATATATATATCATGAGTAATGTGTGTAAATATGTATTTGTGTCTCACCGTTGAGCCATCTGGAGTCGTGCTGCTCTGTTCTGATTGGATGGTGCTTGCCTAACGTTCGGAAAATGGCAAAGTCCCGGCCCATGAAGTCAGCTGATGTCCCAGCATAAAGTTCCCCATCTGATGATCAAAAACACTAATTGAAACTCATATTTAGGATGGTTAATGTGAGTTCAATATGGATGGCGAGAATGAAATGTCAGGAGGCAGGAGGAACTAGTTCAATCTGGGTTTTGTAAACTTTAATAACGGCTCAGGTGAGGACTCAAAGAGGTGTGAGAGGCAACACTCACAGGCAATTTCAGGCTCAAGGATGGCGTGAGAGAACGGGACTGTGTGAGTGTCATAAGTGACCTTTAATCTGAGATGAGAGATTTAACAGTAGAACACTCTGCAGGTAGAGCACAAAACCAGAGGAACAGTCTGCACTGGTCATCCTCGAAGAGAGACCATTAATCAAGGGTGTTGGGTTTCCATTCAGAACACATGAACCAGAGCAAAACACACTCCGGATTATGCAGCGCCACATTCCAAATACACAGACACAGACCTGTATTAGTTTTCTCCAACCAAATCTGCTTTATGTTCTGTTTAGAGTGTAATTAATTTCTCAGAGTGACAAACAAAGCAGCTCAGTGAAGGGAAACAATGGCTATTGAGAAGACAAATATATGCACTCTCTCTATATTATCATCATAACAATTTGAGTCAAAAGTTAAACAGAAAATGTAACATAGTATTTGGTAAATTTTTTCTAAATCCTAAAATTTTCTTTTTTTCTTCTTCTAAATTTAAATTAGATTTTGAATCTTTTGTTTTCAAGTGCTGTCTCATACTTGGACCCCACTGGACAACCTACACACATTTTCTATTCTATTCTATTCTATTCTATTCTATTCTATATTCTAAAATAAAATACTTTTAATTTATTAGAGTTTAAAAAAAACGTTGTTTATTATTATTATTATTATTATTGTTATTATTATAAAAATGTTGAAAACAATAAAGTAACATTAAATTATAATAAAAAAATATCTAGAATAAATAAATGTATTAAAATAAATAATTATATTTTTGAATCAGTCAGATAACAGCATGAGTTTCAGTTTTTTCCCACTCGTCATATACGTGATCTTAGATACTGTATGTTTATGTCTTATCTGTGCATTTCATTTGTATTATGGTACCAGTAACCTATTACTTATTTGTTTTCATAGAGTTTGGACACAAACATCTACATCATTCCTGTACCATTACTACCACCTTAGGCATCTTCTAAATATACTGTTAATTATTTGCACTGACTGGTCTACCATATGCATTGTAAATGCACTTAACATAAATTATATAATACTTGTAAGTTTATTTGTATCATATTATATATTGCAATTTGTGCTTTTAGTTAGATGCTTCTGCATTTCATTGACTCTGTACTGTACCCTACACAATGACAATAAAGTTCAATCTAATCTAATCTAAATTTCAGAGCGGAAACTGGATCTAGTCATGTGACTTTACACAACTCATGTAAAAATGTGAAGCTAAGAAAATGAATTAATGATTTTTTTTGTTATTGTTATGAAAGGCATCTACCTGTACAAACTTTTTAAGACCCTTAAAATTAAATTTTGACAGGTAGGATTACAGTGAACTTAAATATTAACCAAAGTTCAATCTAATCTAATCTAAATTTTAGAACGGGAACTGGATCTAGTCATGTGACTTTACACAACCCATGTAAAAATGTGAAGCTAAGAAAATGAATTAATGATTTTTTTTGTTATTGTTATGAAAGGCATCTACCTGTACAAACTTTTTAAGACCCTTAAAATTAAATTTTGACAGGTAGGATTACAGTGAACTTAAATATTAACCAGAAAATCAGTCGTTCATATTCAACATCACTCACCGATCAGCATGGAAGCAGTCAGGAGTTTGGGGTCATAGGGACTCTTTCCACGGCCATTCTCAAAGTTTGACGACCCTAGCCGAAAGATGTTGTCCTGGATAGAAATGAGCACAAAATCAATCTTTGTGCAAATGACAAACCACATTGAAACAATTATCAAATTTCCGTCACATTTTAAGGCTACTATGTGATTCGAAAAATTTTAGCATAATTTTTAGGTCTTATCTGAGTGACCAAAGACCTCTAAATAATCAAAATTGACATAACAATAATTTGATAAAATAGAACCACCAATAAACTGTGAAAGAATAACTGATGTGGGATGTATTTACCTCCGGGCGTTTGCCCACTTCCACATAAGCACAGACGGGATGGAAGGCTCCTGTTCCACACACATACAAGTGCGTCTGATTAAACGGCTGCAGAACCTTTATGAAGTTAGAGCACTCCTTCTGCAGAGAAAGAGAACAAAACAACATCAATTTATGAACAGAAAACATAGCATTTATAGTGATGTAGCCAATATTTTACCAACAGAAACTTCCAAAACAACACCTTGAACTTGACAGAGAGCAAAGCAAACTACATCAGTGGTGTATATATATTTCTCGATTCACAGTTACCACTGCGTTCTCAGATAAATAAACACATCCCATCTGTGTCAACAAATGCTGACAGACACAGCTTATCACACACACACATGCATACCGTGGCCAAAGAAAGCATTTGGACACTTAGGACACACTTAAAAATGTCTGAATGTCAACAAGTTTAAAAATAACAAAATAATTAAGTAGCAAAATATAAAAACAAGTCGCATGCATTAAAAAATTATCTTATCTGTAAAATAAAATAAAATATTATGCATTAAAATATTTTACTTTTATTTAGCAAGGATGCATTAAATTGATCAAAAGTGACACAAAATGTATCGTTTTTTTAAGGGGCACAACTGTTTTCAACATTGATAATAATCAGATTTTTTTTTTTTTTGAGCAGCTAATCAGCATATTAGAATGATTTCTGAAGGATCATGTGACACTGAAGACTGGAGTAATGATGCTGGAAATTCAGCTTTGCCATCACAGGAATAAATTACATTTGAAAATATATTCTATATATAACAAAAAAAATAAAAAATTCTATGGACCCTAAGCTTTTGAACAGTAGGGTATTTAAAGTAAGTATTTATTTACTTTCTGGTTTTCAACAGTTCATGGAACATAGTTTATGTGATGACAAAACCTGTGATTAGGACACCTGTGTGAACTTGAGGGGAACTGACTTCATACATTCACTAATAATTACACTTATATTATCGCCTTCATAGGTTTATGTTGCATGACAGTTTTGTTTTGATGTCCTCAGATTATCATGCTGTAATCTGTGGACTGACCCAATCATTTCATGTTCTTTGATATTTCATAATGTGTGTCATTTCTGTGTGCATCAAACTCCTATAGCAGAATTCCACATGCAGTGGCACAGCTGACCAACATGCTCTCACGAAGCTCTTTTTTAAAAGGAAAATATTACAACAGCTGGAGTTGTTTTTCAGCTGGGTGTTTAGTGCATTAACAGGGAAATCCTGTTATGGGCGTCCATAGCTCCCCAGTGGCCTGTACTCCCAGGGTTAGTGTGTGTGTGTGTGTGTGTGTGTGTGTTTGTGTTTGTCAGCTCCACTGTAGCATCTGAGCAGGGATTGTGCCTATGGAAATGTGCATGTGTGTGTTCAGAAGCTCCTCAGTTGTGTTAAACCACGTGTCTGAGCAAGTCTCGTCTGGAACGGACTGAAGTGACTCATCTAATGTGGAAAAGGTTTACAGAAAAGTATGACAACATATAATATGTGACTCAAAGATTTGGCTTTTTCTACTCCATCAATATTGACTGACTTACTTTAGTTAAGCTGAATTTCTCCAACCTTCTATCCCAACTTAACATACCTTGATAATTATATGTAACTCATTTGTACGGTGATTTCTCCCAGCAACCAGCAAACATTTGTTAATTGCATAACTCAAACTTAATTTAAAGTGACATGTTTCTGTACACACCTTCAAGGACAAAAACGCATGGTTTTAATTAAAGTTTAAGTTCTCCACTCAACATGTTGCTGGTTCACCTTCGTAATAGTGGTTTGTTACTTCCATACACATTAATTGATAGTGAAATTGCACAATAACCAATAGGAAAACAGTTTGGAGTCATCTTGCTATTTTAAAAAGATTTTAAAAAGTTGCTTTGTCCATGCTCTCTTGGTTTTGACCAAGCCTATCTGTACTAAACTAAACTAAACTAAACTAAAATGGCAGCCTAGTCTGGAAAGTGTTTACACACCGTTGTCCCACAATTCAGTGATTTGGTTTTTATTCATTCTTCTATTGACATCTGCTGAGCTGATCTTGTGGGAGAAACCTTCAACTTTGTTTGTGAAATCAAAAGACGAATGACAGACAAGCTCAGCTTTACCTTCTCAGAACGAGCAGTTCTTGTCCAAAGCAAACCAATCGTGTCTTGTTTTTGGAACCATCTCAAATATTATATTTACTTTCAATGAAAGACATATAAAATGGAAAAAATATATATTTTTATTGCTCTTTTGAAAGCTGACATATTATGTAAACATTCACTGATGCTCAAAAATTTGGGGTCAGTAAGATTTTTTCTCATGCTTTCCAAGGCTGCATTTATTTGATTAAAAATACTACAAAAAATACCAATATTGTGAAATATTATTACAATTTAAAATAACTGTTTTCTATTTTAAATCATTTTACAATGCAATTTATTTCTGTGATGCAAAGCTGAATTTTCAGCATCATTACTCCAGTCTTCAGTGTCACGTGATCCTTCAGAAATCATTCTAGTGTGCTGATTCGCTGCTCGAGAAACATTTATTATTATTATCAATGTTGAAAATTCATTAAACCATTAGCTCAGATAATCACTCTATTAACAGGAATGCTTTATCAGAGCTTAATCCTTCTGGGTCTGATCTGATTTTAATCTCTTATTTCAGTCTTCTGACTCATTTTGGCTATATGGTTATAGCCATACCAATTCATTTGAGTATGTATAATTTTGTATGTGTGTGTCTGTGAGTGTGTGTAAGTAAATGTGTGTGAGTAGATGTATCTGTTTTACACTCTTGATGTTTTAGAGTGTAACCCCTTCCTTGCTGTCCACTTTTTTACCATTGCTGTGCAATTTTTTTCTGCATTGTGGGGGATTTGTAGATTGTACACACAAAAATGTTCTGTATTTTTGATTTTTTTTCCCCCATTTCACATTCATTTCCTATGGTCAGTCATTTTTGACCGAAGACCATGAGTGTGACTATATTTTTTACGACCACTTAGCTTTTTCGAATCACGTCCTCAATTTTTTTGTGTGTTCAAATACCAAGTGCCATAAAAGTCACAAAGTTTAGTACCGAAGCAAAAGCTGACAGAAAAATTAACACCCAAATGCTGAGTGAGTCAAATATGGCCGACGATATGTTAAAAAAACGTGATGTTTTCCGACCTCATCTTCATTTTTTAGAGTAATATGGTTGAGAGGGAGACAGATAGATGGACCTTGGCTCTGACAGCGAACAGCTCAGCAGGGACGGCAGCTCTGCTCTAGTCTGTGTGAGACGTGTGACTGTGGTTGTGGCAAATATGCAGCTAGGAAAGCTAGCGGTGCTCATGGATACACACAGATATTTGCTTGTGGATTTTTCTTTTGTTTCCTATGTATTTAATTCAAGCACTATGAATAAAGGTAACCTGACTTGACAAAATCAGACTTTTTTCACTATCACTGTGCTCACTATGGAAAAGAAAAAAAAAATCTGTGAAACTGATTCAAACATGGTAAAATGTGTAAAACAAAGCACTATTATTTACGGCTGAAAGCTTTAGCAAATTAGCCAAACTTTAAACAAAATTGAAAATTGAATTCAAAAGTGAATTGCAAGTTTTGCTTATTTTTAAAATCAGTTCAATCAAATTAATTACATTGCGTAATATATTTGCAAAAATATTTTAACAAAATATAAAATACATTTACATTTGACAATATATTTGCTTATTTCAAGTCAATATATGAATTATTATATTTCAGTATCTTTCAACATAAAACTATCACTAGCATTCAGTTCAAAGCAATGCATTTTGCAATCAACTTGAGAGTGTATAGGACTTTTGTGGAGTGTTTTACGTATATTTCACAGGGTATTTCAGTTACTGTGAGGAAATGAACAGTACAAAGTTTAACGAGCGTTTCCTCTGAGCTTTATGCCATAGAAACATGTCATTGTTGCTGTCATACTCTCTCCTTTTGTTATTTTCGCCTTTTTTGATGAGTTTTATGCTCACTTCGGCTGGTGTAAACGAGTGACTATGCGCACTATGTGCACAGGCGTCTCATCGGATTGTCAAGGGTCTGTTTGCGTAATGCACTTGTGCTGGAAGAGGTCTAATTAAAATATGCACACATATACAGCAATCAAATACACACACAAACGCTCTCTAGAACTGCAAAATGACTCCATCAACAATCACAAACACTCACTATTCAAGAGGAAATGAACTGCACTTGATTATTGTCAAGCATTGCTTTTGAACAAATAGTCTGTGTACAGTATGTACAAAAGTCTGTGAGCATTCTGAAACATTGCTCCTTTGTTATAATTGTGTGTCTTCATCAAAACAATAAAATCAATCGTCAAGTTTTTCTCTGTCAAATAGGTGAAAACAAAGCATGATGTAATGTTTATATTTTTGAACGCCTCTGTTATGATCCAGACGGTTGCCAGGGCATTCCGAGCTCATAAATCAGATACCCCAGATAGAACATCTTGTAATTATTACATCATTCAGCATATCTTTGTGAGTGTGTGATCAGATCGAGGTGTGAGAAGTGAGTTTAATTGGGCCTGGAAATCAAATACCTTCTGAGAACATTTAAGTTTTCAATCTGGTGTAATAAAACCTGATCTTGTGTAAAATGTGAACATGATATTTATGATCTAACTGCCTAGTAAAACAGTGAAAAGTGCTTTTTTAATCAGTAATATCCATTACACACAGACACATAACTCTGATATAAATCTCAAAAAGTGACTGTTCTTGGCAGGTTTCACTCAGACTCAGCTCTAGCGACAGTTTCTGTGTGAATCGATAGCGCATGAGCTGTAATTATCATATAGCCCAGAGTTATTTATCTATTAAAGATTACCTGAGAACATCCTGAGGAACAGGTTCTCAGAATCAAGGATTTGAGTTGCCAAAGACAAAGACAAGGAATACCAAACGGTTTTAAAGTTCATTCTGCAAGGATGTAAGCAAAAATGTAAGTGTCAAATGTAAAATCAAATGTAAAACTTTAGCAATCAATCACTGAAATCACTAGCATCAGAATACTGAAGCTAAAAAAACACATTTCAGTTCCAGGATGAATTTTTGAACTACTGAGTGTAGGTTTGTTCATGAACTAACAATAGTTAAAGTCTACATGGAATCTGCAGATATATTATTGAAAATGCTGTGATTTGGAAAGAGATCATTTTGATAGCCGTGTTGCCGAATTGAGATGATTAATAATCTCTCAACATGTTGGAAAAGAGACCACGATTGTGTTTCCCAAAAGCATCGTAACTCATAAAATCATAGAACCATTGCCACCAAGAAACACAGCCCAGTTTCAGTAGTTAAAGGTGGGGTAAGCGATTTTTCAAAAACGCTTAGAAAACTGATTCGGGCCGACTAGAAAAACAAAGCGACCGTTGAAAATCATTTGAAATTTGTGTCAATACGTCATGAATAGAACGCAGCAGCAGTTTTCTGTCGGGGATTTGTCGTGTCGTGCCGCGCCGCATCCAGTGTAGACCATAGATATGTATATATATATCTATGGTATAGACAGCATCACTGATTATAATGAGTTCTATAGTATTTTGTCGCACCGCACCACTCGCGTCCGGTGTAGACACGGTGTAACATTGGTTTGGCTTTGTTTCACAGAACTAATCGTTGCCTGGGTTGTGAACATATGTGTGGGGCGGAGCTATCAAAATAGGGGCGAGACCCTTTTGGGGTAGGGGCGTGTTTGTTTTGGTGATTTCAAATGTCAACATTGGCTACCAGAAATCGCTTACCCCACCTTTAACTAAGTTACCTTACCATAAACTATATGGTGAAAATTTGTAAATGGTTTAACATTACATTATATAGAATTTTACTGTAAAACACTGGCAAATGTATGGTTTTTTGAAATAGAATTATGAATCAAAGTATAATTAATGATGGAAAACAGTCAAAGTAAATGGTTAACATCATATTATATGTAGTTTTACAGTAAAATACTATCAAATTATAGTTTTTGGAAGGGAAAACTGAATTATTGTATAATTTATGATGAGAAACTAAATGTTTGACATTGGCTACTAGAAATCGCTTACCCCACCTTTAAGAGAAAACGGCACTTGCTAAATGACAACTTCACCAGAAAAAAAAACATAAATGTAAGGTTATGCTTTTTTATACACTCTTTCAAAAGTTTGCAGTCAGTCAGTAAGATTTTTTAAAACTAATTAATGCTTTTATTTAGTAAACTGATTAAAAGTGACAGTAAAAACACTTTTAATGCAACAAAAGATTTCTATTTCAAAGAGAAGTCCTTCTGAACTTTCTATTCTTCAAAGAATCTTGAAAAGTGTATCAAACAAAAATAATAAGCAGCTGTTTTCAGAACTGATAAAATCAGAAATGTTTCTTAAGCAGCAAATTGGCATATTATAATGATTTCTGAAGGATCATGTGAAACTAAAACTGGAGTAATGATGCTAAAAAGTCAGCTTTGCATCAAAGGAATAAATTAGAAATTAAAATATATTAAAAATAGAAAACTACAGCTATTTAACATTTTAATAAAATTTCACAATATTACTATTTTTACTGTATTTTAGATCAAATAAGAGACCCAATAAGAGCATAAGAGATGTGATTCTTCTTCTTTAAAAAAAGAAAAATAATTAAAAATCTTACCAACCTCAAACTTTTAAACAGTAGTGTATCATGGTTCAGCTGAGTCAGTGCAAAAATGTTCTGTGTCAGATTCCAGAACATACGGTGCCCCTGCCTGGCATTGTGGGTAATCTACAGTAGCAGCACGCAGTCACACAGGAGGACGTGCCTTTAGACATGCTGCTAATCTGAAGAAGAGCTAGTCTTCTTCAAACCACTGAGACCATCTCTCTGTCTCTTTCCCTCCATCTATTGTTGTGGAAAAACATCTGAAAGCACAAGCGAGGAGGGGAGGGCAGGTGGAGGCAGAGGAACGGTCCCATCTGAGGCTGATAAAAATAAACTTCCCTACCCTACATACTGCCTGCACTCTCTGCTCTGCAGGGCACATGTGTGTGTGTGTGTGTGTGTGTGCGTGCGTGCGTGCGTGCGTGTGTGTGTGTGTGTGTGTGTGTGTGTGTGCGTGTGTGTGTGTGTGTGTGTGTGTGTGTGTGTGTGTGTGTGTGTGTTTGCGTGTGGGCAGATGAAACATGAGTGCTATCCACACTCACCTTTTTCCATTCATCACAGCATGCATGTCCATCTAATCAAATCTGGAGTTCTGATTATTAGCATACCTTATCGTTTGAACTCTCTCCACAGGGTCCAAAGATGATTTTAAAGCAATCAAAAACCTGAAATCAAATCTAATCCAATTTCCCTCATGTCTTTTTGCTTTCCGATGGGGAAAATCTGTATTACGGCATAAATATTTTCCATTTCACAGGAATTTGGCAGAGTATTGTTTTAGGTGTGTGCGCTCTAACGCTGCGGCTTTATAGGATACGGAGAGTTCACATGCTGCAAATGCAACCCAACACCAGATTCCTGGCATGTTTGTGGATTAAAAGCTTAATTAAAGTGAAATAAAACTTCTCTCATTCCTTCATGAGATTATAGCTGTCTTAAAACATTCACTTCGGAATGGGATAGCTTTACACCAAAAACATTATTCCACCACACAAATCCACACACACATACAGTATGCATGCACTGAAGTAGCCAATCTCTTGATTCTTTGCCACTTATTTGAGACAACATGCAGCTACATCCATTATCCAGTTCTTTATGTCTTTCCACACCTGTTGACATTTATGTAAAGGTGTTACTGTTAACCTGCCCCAGGAACTTTCGGCTCAGAGGGGACACTGATACCACCCCTGTGAGGAACACCAGTGCTCAGTCAGGACTTCCTCATGGGTGGCTTCCTCTCTCCACACACACACACACACACACACACACACACCTTCATTCTTTGGAAATATGGCTAAAAGGACTCTACAGCTATGTGTTTGTTTACAAGTTGGGTTGTACATGTGAGGGCCACAATTCTATCCTCACAAATATAGTGAAACGTGTCAAAAACAACTTGTGGAGACATTTAAAGTGGTCCTCACTCCTCAATAATTGAAAGGTTCATTATTTAGCCAAATCATGTTTTGATTCAAATCTGATAATGTCAGCAGGTTACTGTGAAGGTTAGAGTATAGTAAATTTTTTAATTTTTATTGATACTTTTTTAAGTAATAATTATTATCTGAAATAATGTAAAATGTGTTTCAGCACTGTTTTATAGGTATTAATACTATAAGAAGTTACATTCCTTAAATATCTTAATATAAATTTTTTTTTTATCCAACCTACATTGACAACAAGCAAACAATTCTTGGACTCTCACAAAAACTGTAAAAACTGTGGAGCATCCCATCCAGTCCAACACAATAAAATTGGCTAAACAAATGGTTTGATTTTGGGCACAACAATATGTTTTTCCGACCAAAGGAAGACAAAGGTATTTCAAAAAAGCTGCTTAAATAAATAAATAAATTTGTAATAAAAAAAAAAAAACTTTTTTTTTTTGTTTATTTTCAGTTCCATTTGGTGACACTAGTGCCCCCAAAAACACATATTTCCCCCCCCCCAAAAAAAAAAAAAAACTATGTTCTTGTTTTATTTAAATACATTTATAGTAAATCAAAAAAAAAAAAAATATATATATATATATATAACAAACAGCAAATATATGCTCTCCATGAGTAATTACACCCCCCCACATGCATTTTAATTGATGAGAATTCAGAAAAAGATGAATCAGCCAGACTGTGGTGACAAATGTTCACAGGTGTGTGAGTTTGCTCTGGTGCTTGTGGATATCAGAATCAGTCTTGGCATTGAACCAAGTTGTGTTTGCTTAGATCAGCCTAGAGTACACTGTAAACACACATACTCTCACTCTCTCACTCTCTCTCTCTCTCTGTCTCTCTCTCTCTCTCTCTCTCTCTTCTTTCTAGATGCAAAACACAAACACATATTCCCTCCAATCTCTCTTTGTCTCTTTCTTCATTGTTTTCCACACAAACAGTGTGTGTATGCCTGTAGGTGTCAGTGTTTGATACGGTAAACAGCTCCAGACGTGTGTGTGTGTGTGTGTGTGTGTTGGGGCAGATGAGAGCTCTGGGTACTTAAGGAGCCCCCCGTGTGTTTGTGCATGCGTGCGTGCTGGATCGAGCACGTCTGTCGCCTGACAGTCACACACCGCGGTTCATATAGAGCTCAGCTTCCACCAGCCAGCTAATGAGGAGCTGTCAGAGCAATTAGAAAGCTGGCAGAGAGAGAAATGGTTCACTTTTATACAGTCATCTGCCCTGACTGTTAAACCTCTCTCTCTCTCTCTCTCTCTCTCTCTCTCTCTCTCTCTGTCTCTTTCTAATTACAGAGGGAGGGTGGAACAAGCTCTCGCATTTAAACACTCGTGTAAATTCACTTCTGACAGTTCACTTTATCATGAATGCCAATCGGATGGGAAGAGTTGTAATGTTTTATGAGATCAGGTAGAAATAGTGCCTTAAATAACTGTATAGATCCACGTTTTAAGGTTAAATGTTAAAAAATTAAGAAAAAGAAAAAGGCATTGTTGATAAAATCGAAGATTACTGAATCACTTAATAGAAAAAAAAAAGATTACTGGTGTATGTTTTACAAGAAAATAATATTTCTGCTTTCTACTTCAAAATTTCACATTTAATTCAATATGTTACTTTGTAATTATTAATGAAATTTACTTGTAATATCTGAGTGAAAATTGTTAAATCCTACACTCATTTTTTTCACAATTTTTGATCTATAATTTCACCCCTCAGCACTACCCAATCACAAAAGACAATATCACTTTCAGTAACACCACTCTAATATTTTAGTTATGAATAATGAACGCAAATATCCATATATACCCATGACTATCAATATGATGTCCAGCTTCACTTTCATTCTTTCAAAAACATCTTTCAAAATGACCAACCATGCATAATTAAACCATGTGAATCATATCAATGAAGCAACCAGACCCGTATGCCAACTCCAGACAGGAAAGCATCAAGAAACCATCAAACTTTAACATCTGCTCTTCTAAGATTCCTCAATCATTCTGATCAATTTTCCAGAATCCCCATCAGCAGCAGAAGCAGAAGGTGACTGACCTTTATATGAGAGTTTGAGCCGGGGTACGTTGTTCTTGCTCCTCTGTGCGTCTGTTCCTCTTTCCGGTGCGCCGAGCGTCCACAGCAGCAGTACAATCCCCCACAGGTAGTCCATGTTTGCCCCGGCTGCGTGCAGTCCACTGGCCTCTGGTAAACACTGTGTCGTTTCAGCAATCCAGTCCTTCAGAACGCCACCTGAGGATGGAGCAGGTGTGTCTGTGTGTCAAATAAGTCGCACAACGATCACATCTCTCCTGGTGAAGCAGTCACAGCCTCAGGAGAGGACCATCAGTGTCCAGACCACTCACAGTCTCACTTTAAAGTGTGTTTCTGTGGTTGCTTATCTCCTAGATGTTGTGCGCTCTTCCTCTCTGACTGTTTTAAATAGTAACACTGTTGAGACTAAACTCAACTAAAGCTTCTCTGTTGCGCTCTCTCTCTCTCTTTGCACAAGCTCAGCGCACACACGGTCACAGCACAAGACTGGGAGAGAGCGGAGCCAGCTGAGAAAGACTGTGAGTGAGTGAGAGAGAGAGCGAGTGAGAGGAAAAGGGAGGGCTGTGCTTCCAGCAGAGGATTCTCTAGGTAGCCTTTTTTCCTACTTTCAAATCCCACACACACTGTCAAAGTTGCACTCACTCTACAAGAATCATTCTGACATTGGAGGGCATGTGTGGTGTGGTAGATATTTCCTAACCTCACTGTCCTGGTTTCTTAATGTTTATTTTGCTCTATATCTAATGCAAGAACAGACTTTATGTGCTACTCGGGACATTAGGAAGTTGTCCCTTCCTGTCCATGTCTCGCACTGTTCTCTGCCGCCCAGGAGTCTGAAAACTCTCGTCAAACTCCACCCTCACACCAGACACTTATTTTTAGCATGTCTCCCCGTGTGAGGTGAAGGCGTGTGGCAGGAAGGATGATATTCCATGTTTAAAGAAAGGCTGGTCAGGGCACTTATAAAGTTCACTCATCATTTACTCACTTTCATATTGCATATAGGTCATTTATACTGTCAAGCTACAAAAGAACTGCATAAAAGTATCATAAAAGTGGACTCTGTGTGAAGAACAAAATGAATTTTAAAACATTATTCACTGATAATCTTCTCTTCTGATGGATCTCACAAATCATATTTGCATAAAAAAATTACATCAACTTAAATATAAATATAAATAAATATATAAATAAATGAATGAAAAGTTTGGGGTCAGCAAGATTATTATTATTATTTTTTTTATAAACTGTGACAGTAAATAAGACATTTACATGTTGCAAAGATTTTCTGTTTCAAATAAATGCTGTTCTTCTATTCATCAAAGAATCCTACAAAATGTACCATGGTTTCCACAAAAATATTAAGCAGCAAATCTGTTTTCAATATTGAGAATAATAAGAATTATTTCGAACTAATAAGAATGATTTCTGAAGGATCATGTGACACTGAAGACTAGATTAATGACTGCTGAAAATTCAGCTTTGTCATCACAGGAATAGATTATATTTTAAAATGTATTAAATTAGAAAACAGTTATTTGAAATTGTAAAAAAAAAACATATTTCACAATATTTCTGTTTTTATAAAGGCTGCATTTTTGATCAAAGAAATGCAGCCTTGGTGAGCATAAGAAACAGCTGTAATATAAATATATACAAATAAAAAATATGCAAATATAAAGTCACATTATTACTTGTGTAAAAGAGTGGCTTGGACATTCCTTCCATCTTTTTTCATATTTCACAAAATAAAATAAAGTGGAAAAGATGACATGAGGGGGGAGCAAATAATGACAATTTCTTTATTGATCCCTTTAAGTATAACTAGCTTGACAATATCTTCACTTAAAGAGAGCTAAATCAGTTAAGATTTCTGTATGTGCATATTTGATTGACACCAGTTTCTGTGACTCCGCCCACTCCACCCCAAATCCATTGACCTCATTATCAGTGATCCCTCCCCCACAGAACATACCAACACTTCTAGAAGACAATGAAGCAGTCCATGAACAATTCCAGCGCTTTCAGTCTGATCTCTTTTTAATTTCCCAAAGCCGTGATGCTGCCTATTGTAACATGATAATGTTGAACTACAGGCCACCAGACTTCTCTTCATATTTCTGTTTAGCACAAACCATACAGAGCATGGATACTTCAGTAATTGGGATTTAAGAGGTTTTGAAAAACAAGCTCAGCAACAGACGCAATGCTCTGTGGGCAGTCGTGGTCTAATGGTTAGAGAGTTGGACTTGTAACCCGAAGGTTGTGGGTTCAAATCTCAGGTCCGGCAGGGATTGTTGGTGGGGGTCAGTCGGTCAGTGAATAATCAGCGCTCTCTTCCACCCTCAATACCACGACTGAGGTGAGACCCTTGAGCAAGGCACCAAACCCCCAACTGCTCCCTGGGTGCTGCAGCATTGGCTGCGCACTGCCCACTGCTCTGGGTGTGTGCACTACTGTGTGTGTGTGTGCACTTGGATGGGTTAAATGCAGAGCACAAATTCCGAGTATGGTTGACCATATGTCACTTCTCTTTTTCACTCACTTTTCACCATATGAGGGGAAAAAGAGACATAAAGAGACAATAACTTTTGCCTATTTTAATATATTTAAAAATTCAAAGCTGAATTTTCAGCAGCCATTACTTCAGTCTTCAGTGTCACATGATCCTTCAGAAATCATTCTAATATGCTGATTTAGTGCTCTATAAACATTTCATATTATTATAATATTGAAAACAGTTTTTGCTGCTTAACATTTTTGTGGAAACTGAACATTTGAAAGCACAAAAATATAAATACAATAATACAGAAAACAGTTATTTTAAATTGTAATATTTCACAAAATGACTGTTTTTACTGTATTTTTGATCAAATAAATGCAGTCTTGGTTAGCATAAAAAACATTATTTCAAAAACATTTAAAAAATCTTAATTATTTCAAACTTTGACCGGTGGTAGTGCTGGAAGCCCTGCTAAATGTGATTCTGAAGAGAAGCTTGAATTTTCTAAACATTAACAAAAATGTTTTGTTGAATCTTGGCAGGAGTTAGTCCTAACTTTTTGCTTATAGACAACACAATTTTTGCTTACTGTGTGAATTTAAGCATCCGTTTGTCATAATAAGAAATGGCAGCTGTAATATTAGGCTGAGGTGACTAAACTCTGTTTATTCAAGTCGATGTGGAGTCATGATAAAGTAGCAAGTATTTGCCTGCTATAACAGAGAGTCCCTTAATGGGTAAATAATGAGGCCGGCATGCTGAGCGGCAGTCTGCCAAGTTAGTTCAAGTGGTGTTCAATTTTCATTAAAGTTGCCTCCTACTACAGTGAGCTCCCCACTGATTCCCCATCTAACTGATGTCTGCTTCCAGTGAGAAACACAAACTCAAGCTGTTGAACTTCACACCTAAATAAACACATCGGATTCTATACTGAACTCAATGAACAGGCTTAAACTGTTGTTATATACTGTATATGTATATATGTATTGTAAAATGTCTAAAAATAGTACATCGAATTAGCCAAAATATTTATCAGACAAACATGCAAAGGGTGGAATATGTGTAGAAAGTCCAGTGTTCCAGCTTCCAATTCTACAAAAATCTGCCAGACTCCACGTGGGCCTGGCAAAAAGAACTGCATGTATTCTATTCTTTTCTATCTCATCTTAGTTTTTTCTCTGCTTCAATCATCTATCCCATGAGTCTTACTGACAGCACTGCTTAAAAAAAAAAAAAGGAATCCGCTGAAGCATATTCCTGCATGACTCCAGGGTCCAACTATTACACAACTCAATTCAATGCCACTCATTCACACAAGACCAGTGTGGCGTCATACAGCATCCCAGTCTTTTCTAGCAAATCTCACATTGAAATCAGATGACCAAGGGCCTGGGGTACATAATTTTAATATCAGATTGGAAGAGTGAATGTCTGTGGAAAGCAAACATGTATGCATGTAATTCAAGACAAACAAGGGACTTTCATTGAACATTTCCGCCTTTCATGTCCCAGAAACGCTGCTCCAGTGTAAAAGGGCATCAGTTGTACAAAAAAAAAAAAAAAAAAGTCAGAGTTTGAGTTTTGTGTCAAAACTTAAATTATATATGTGTCTTTTCATCTCATCTGAGTTCATCTCAGTGGCTCTCAAACCACCAAGTTTCCAATTAGAATTTTTTATATCACTAGCCCTATAAACTGCATAGGCTCAACAATAAGAAAAATTATAGACACAATATAGACTGAATAGGAAAGTTTATGTTATTGCTCAAGAATCTGTGCTAGCAGGCAGAAATAAATAAAGCCCTTTGGAGAAGCGTGGAAGATCCAGAACTAATTATCTTTCAAACACACTCAATGATATGAAAACTGAAGCTCCTGAGAGTTTGTATATTCAGGCTGGAAGAAAAACCTTCATCTGGAAGATCATTTGGCTTTTACTTATTGTCTTTGTGAAGTAACCCAGGCTGATTCTGTAAACCCTCCCCAAACCACGTGTCGAGCTACTCAAGCTCCATATCATGTGCTAAGAACTAATTAATGAGAGAGAAATACTAAATACTAAAATCTTTAACAGGTACACTGTTACAAAAGATTGTATTTCAAATAAACTATGTTCTTTTGAGTTTTCTATTCATCAAATAATCCTAAAAATGTATCAGAGTTTCCACAAAAATATTAGTTAGCACAGCTGTTTTCAACATTGATAATAAATCAGCATATTAGAATGATTTCTGAAGGATCATGTGACACTGAAGATTGGAGTAATGATGCTGAAAATTCAGCTTTGCATCACGGGAATAAATTACATTTTAAATATATATTCAAATAGAAAACAGTTATTTTAAGTTATAAAAAAGTTATATTATATTCAAAAACATAAAAAAATCTTGAACTTTAACATACGTATATTACTTCAAACAATGTAATAATATCTGAGCTTTGCATTAATACTTAATTGTACATCGCATCAAAGCTGAAAATTAGCTAAACAAACACCTTTGCACTGAACACATATCAACAGGTTATAAGGAATGCTAATAAAATTACTATAATCATTTGGAACCAATCATAAAAGGGTCAAACAAGAATCCGCTAAGATCTGACTGGATACACTCCAACTAATAAACTAAAAATGGCATTTTCAGTTTATCCAATCTTATTTCATTGGAGTAATGATGCTGAAAATTCAGCTTTGCATCACGGGAATAAATTACATTTTAAAATATATTCAAATAGAAAACAGTTATTTTAAATTATAAAAAAATTATATTATATTCAAAACCATAAAAAAATCTTGAACTTTAACATACGTATATTACTTCAAACAATGTAATAATATCTGAGCTTTGCATTAATACTTAATTGTACATCGCATCAAAGCTGAAAATTAGCTAAACAAACACCTTTGCACTGAACACATATCAACAGGTTATAAGGAATGCTAATAAAATTACTATAATCATTTGGA